CAACTTCTTTTGTTTTTTCTTTGGGAAAATATTTTTTAACCTTAATCATTTTAAAGTTCTTATTTAATTTAAAGGTACTACCCATTAAGTGCCTTATTTAATTGTATACTAAAATGCAAAAAACTTTATATTAAATGCATTACTAAATCAATAAAGTATTTTAGAAACAAACTTAAAATATATAAAAATAATAATAAAAAAAAAACTTTTATTTAAAATACACAAATATTACATTTAATTTATTTAATTTTTTTCTGTGCTTCCTGATATTAGTCGACACTAAATAAATAAATAACGCACTTTGAAGATAAGGCGTTTCGACAAAAATGGTAGGGAACTCATTAAAATACAAGTTTTTAAAAAGTGGCATTTTAGAACATATTAAACATTTTTGAGTTTAGTTTTTTCATATATTTCAAATTCATAACGAATTAAAAATGAAGTTAAAGTTTGATATTTTTAATTTTAATTTTAAATGGCTAAAAAAAAAATGTTATTTAATTTAACTGATATTAGTCGACATTAAATAAATAAGATACCTTTTACGAAATTCATGAGTTTTAACATAGATTTCAAAATAAAGTTCGAAAAATTTGTATAGCAATATAGAGATGATAAGATTATTATTTCAATACCAAAAGATTTGGAATTGGTGATTTTAAAACATTCAAAAATGTTACGAAACTCCGATTCTTTGGTATATTTTTTATAGTGTATGTCCCATCTATGTCTCTAGTTGGCCTGTGACAAGCAGCTGGCGGCGTTGACTGCTTTGGAATGCGAATGCGAATGCGCATTTGCATTTGGCCACACTCTCTGTCTGTCTGTTTGTCTGTCTGCCCATCTGTTGCCTGGTCTGTCTCTGTGTCTGTCTGTCTGCCTGCCACTAAATGTGGAGCAGTCGCCACACAAGCGAATGCAACATGCTCACGCCCATAAAAAAAATTACTCAAGATTACAGTTTGCAATTTGTTACTCCAACATTTGTAATGGTTTTCCATTTGGATTCGTGCTTCCCAAAGTGCATTGCTGAAGTTGTGTTAACGATTCCATTACTAGCTACCAGATCATTAATTAACATTCGCATCAATATTGATGATGTCCCATCTGTGTTCATCTCTATAGATTCCAATTCTGTTCGTGGAAAAATTGATTCGTTCCTTGTATGATTTTTTTCTCTTTTAATAATTGTGTATTCATAATTATTAATAGTATTAACACTTTTTACAAAATGTAATGCCAGGAAAATACGATTCTTTTGGACTACACATATTTCAAGAAAACATAGCACCAAAATAACATGAAAATTAAACAAAAAAAAATAACTCTAAACACTACTTATCGAAGAGGGTTCCGAGTTTTGTTTGGTTTGTCAGTTTATTATGAAAAAGTGGTACTTCAATTGAAAGAAAAAAAAATATTAAAACATCGAAGCATTTTCGAATAGTCTTTCTAAAATGTGTTCTTATAAATTTATAAATACTGTACGTAGATAGATATTAAGTTTTTGGGTCTTGTTGGAAAAAATAGCATCACTTTAACTCGGCATATTAAGATTAAAGTTAGTCGAATCCTTTGTTTTCGAAAGCCAGCTGCAGGAGCGCCCAGTCACAACCTGTGCTTTTTTGATGGATTGCTTAGAGTAGTTTTTCTTTTTGAAATTCCACAATAAAGGCATTCATTTTTAGCGCAATATCAGATTTTTCGGTATTTCAATGAAAATATGTATAGCAAATGATTTTTAGACAATTTTACCATATTACCTTACCTGCCAATTTCTGCACACAAAACATTACAACTAAGCTAGGACAACTAAAAAAAATGATAAACGTGCTTATTTTGCCGGTAAATATGCAAACTTCTTCGAGCAAAGTGAATGAATGTTGTAAATGACTTAGAAAAGGCCACAGATAAATATAATTTTAAGTTCCCTCTATAAAAAGGCTTGACAATGCTTTGGTCGAACAGATTAATAGTATTTAACTATATTATGTACATTATTTTGTTTACAATTTTTATCAACTTAACAGCTGACTGGACAAGCGAAAAACGATTGTAAATATATCGGAGGATATATAAGAAAACCTGGATCCTGCGAGTTTATAAGATTTAAATTATGAAAATAGATCACCAAACATTAAGAATATTAATTTAGAATATATAATATATACTGTTTATTGTTTGATTGTTTTCTATAATAATAAAAAAAAGTTTTTATCTTTAACTTATTCTGATTTACCATTTGTTTAGTTCAATAAAACGGGAAGAGTAAATAAAAGTAAGTAAATTAACTGTTCTTAATCGATAATAAATGAATTTTGCCAATTCCATATCGGACATTGGCCAACTTATTTATTTATTTCCCAAGTCAGCTTACCAATTAAAATCGCTGGTTCCATATTAGTAGATCGGTTCGTAAAATATGTGGGTTATATCCAGAATTTCGTTGCGTTTGAAACACGTAATTTGCTTATATCCAGATTAAAAATTGTAAAATCGTTGAATCACATTGAGAATATTCGCTTTTTTTTTATTATTATTGCTTTTCTTTCACTTTCTCACTTATCTTTTTTTTTTTGTATGTTTGTAATATTTTGCGATTATTACTAAAAACAAAGGCGCGCCAAGGGTTTCTAAAAAAGGTGCCAAATTTGATGGGAAAAAACAAGAAATAAGAAATAAGAATTGACACCTGTAAAGTTCCCGCCTTGAATTCGATGTTTGCCAAGCAAAATAAACAGAGACAATATATGAAAAACAAACACAAACTCGAAATGAGAGAGTGAGAGAGAGAGGGAAAAAAACAACACACTACCGTTAAACGGCACAACACTATTGCCTTAATGAGTTTCTTGTTTGTATTTGTTTGCCTGCCATTTGTTGTTGCTGCCCGGTTAATTTAACACGGCTTTTAGCTGATTGTTTGCTTATTTTGATAGTGCAGTCCGTTTTTTTTTGTTTTTTATTTCTTATCGCGCAGATTCAGAGGGAGAGAGAGCAAGCGAGCGAGCGAGAGAGTAACAGCGCAGGCGGCTCTCTCGTTCTCGCGCTCGATCAGAAAACAAACACCGGTTGAGACTTGCGGTACGGTTGGTAAACGAAATACGCAGTAAACCCGCTCCTCACATTCCAACAAGCACGCCGTGCAATGGAAAGGGAAAACCAGATATGGAAACGATGGAACAGTTTGGAACAGACAACAGTTTCACTGCTGCTGTTGCTGCTTGCGTCGCTGCCTGCCTGCCTGAAGTCTCGGTAATTTGTGAGTCAAAGAATCAGCAGCCAGTAACAACTACAATTGTCTGTGGCTGTGAGCGTGTGTGTGTGATTTTATACGTGTGCCTATGTGTGTGTATTTGTATTTATATGTTTTTGTGTGTGTGAGCAAGAAAAGAGTTAAAGACAAAAAATGCCACAGAAAAATTATTTATGCGCTGGCAACCAGAAAAAAATACCACTTTAATCTAACAAAATATTATTAAGGTTTTTTGCAGACAAACAACTTGTTTCTTATTGTTGTGAGCAACACAAACACAAACTACACTTGAACTTATTGCGTCGACGATGGCGTCAACGTCGCCGTCGACGTCGGCGCCACAATAAATTGAATTTTTTGCACTAGCTTTGAGCCTTTTCAAGAATACATATTTTGATTACACATATTTTTAATGAGCATTTTTAGCCACTTTTATGGCAAATAACACACAGCAAAGCTCGAATTTTTATACACTTTTTTTATTGCTACCCTTTGGTATTGCTTCTTCTTTACTCTTTTGTTGGCGTTTTTTTCTTTCTTTTTGTTGTATTTTGTTACCTCGACCGTAAAACTAAAAACCTTCCGCGCAGTTTTTAAAGCGAAGTTTCTCGCGCGACTGCGCTGTCGTGACTGTCTGATTGGAGCAAACCGATCTTTAAAATGAGCGACAGTGCTGTAGGCTGTGCTGCGACACAGCATATGCTAGCTAGAAACGGCTAAATTATGCTGCTGAGACGAATGAACATAAGCCAATGCACAAGCTCTTACATTTTGTGTATTTTGTGCATTTTGTGCATTTGTGCATTTTGTGCATATTTTAAATTAAATAAGTACTGATAGATCAAGCGGGAAAAGTTCGAGTTATACGCTCTGCAATATATATATATATATATATATCGCTGCTGGAATAAATGGCTAAATTTAAGTGTCAGCACTGACGAGACAACCATTTCGAGAGAGTACTGAAGAGGGTAACAGTGTTCACAGTGGTGTTTTCATTAGCCATGTCAATTTATTACCATTACTCACTGTTATTCGCGACCATTCAAAACAATCAATTTATCTATTTATTTTGTTTGAACAATGTCACAAATATGAACAAATAATTTAAAAGACATATTTTGCTAATCTTTCTGATAATTCAAATCTTTATTTGCTAATATAAAGACCGCTTTTGGTCAAATTGAATTGGCATGTTTCTGTCTTGTTGATCGGTTTGCATCAATGTTAACTAACAGTGTACTCTCCGAGAGCGGCTCGCATGTTCCATTTCAGTTGTTGCATTTGTGAGGCGGAATTAGAAATCAATTGATATCTTATTGGAAATGATTGGCAAAGTGTAAGCAATTTACAATAGATCTTGTTTTTGGTAAGAACTAGCATAAAATAAAATAATATATGCCAAGTTAAAAGTTTACAATGTAAACATTCTTAGGTTATTAATAATAATTTACTAATTCAACAATATTTTTATTAAATTAAAGTAGTTGGAATTAGATTACCAAAAATATTCTTACAATATATTATAACCAATATTAATCACAAACTGCTCGTCACTTTACATTATATGCAAAAGTTTCAACGCAACGGCATTTTATCAAAATTTAAAGCCAAAATAAACACAAGATAAGCGCAAAACTTGTAGACAATTCTAATGTCTCCAGGTAAAAAAAAATATATATATAAATATATATATATATATATAATTCTTGTATAATCAAAGTAGAGCAACTTGCAAACTCACCCATTGTTTTCTCTAGAAATTCCTCATAGTTCATCAGGGGCGGCGTTGAAGCACCCTGAACAATATCCAAAAAATCCTGCTCGCTGTAAACTGAATCATAATCGCTGGGATCGTGCATGGTTATGTATGTATATGTATAAGACTTCTTATAACTCTCAAAGAGAAGTTCTTGAGTTATCAATTTAAGAAAGCACACTTAAAATATTTTTTTTAAATAATTGTAAACCAATTTAGCACGCAACTAAATAGGAGTCGTTATAAATGACTTTTATTGAGTTAATTAAAATAATAAATGAATTTTAAGCCAATTTAACAGTTATACAAATAAAAAACACATTGCGTAGAGTTTTCTTCACTTTTCGTCACATACTCTTAGGCAGCTGGAAAATTGAGCAGTGCTAATTGGGAATTATGCTGTTGTTAAAAAGCAGCGATTCAGGGCGTAACGGTGCTTTACGCATGACAAGAGGAAGCACACATTTGTATTTGCAGAAATTGCATTTACCAGAGCTGCATACTGATGACCCAGTACGTTTGTAAGCACCTGCCGCGAACCGATGGTGATGACCGAATGCGCTAAAATTTGAAGTACGACTAACGCGACGACAACTGTTGCGAGCGTCTAATCAAGCAGCAAGTAAATATAAATACTACGAAGGCTATCATCACATGGCACAAGTGAGACACTGAGAAATACAAACGTCTCCGCAGCAGATTAGAATTCAGAAACAGAAACAGAAACAGATCCAGAAACGTAATGTTTTATTTGCAAAGAGATCGCTTAGACAAGAAGTCTCTCATTCTTCAGACGATGTTGGCTACAATTCGATCTCTCTCTCTCTCTCTCTCTCTCCATTTGTTATCTCCCTCTTTGTTTTGGGCGAAAGTACTAGCGGCAGTGAATGGGAGGGAGGGCCTTGAGGTGTGGGAGACTGCGTATCTTATCGCACTTGTTGAATTCAAACTTGTTTCGTATGTGTATTCAAACAAGTAAGACCCATAAACAGCTTACTGATAGCTTAATTTTCCATTAATTAATGCACACGGCAATATTGTGTCTGTTAGCAACAACAACAACTAGTCTACAATATTTGATTGGTATTCGCGCGTCGAAATCTATCAGCCAAATTGCTTAACTCATCCCAAATTTAGTGAATAATTGTTTGATTCCACATAATAAACACGTGCTTCGATTTGCCATCAGTAGATCTTTTCAACAGTAATTATAACGAATGAGAGTGTTGCTGTCGGGCGTAACCGACTGTGAAGTACGCTATATCAATGTAATACCAACTGACAAAAAATATTTTTATTTGAAAGAGTTTGCAATTAATCTTAACTTCCGATTTTGGTAAATTTAACTCTTACATCGTGGGAGATATAGGATTTGCCAATTTTTGTAGGCGGGAGTCGCTTAGAAAAATAGTTTCCCATTAATCTTTGAAGGAAATTATTAGTAAGCCACATTCCACATCTGATAGTTTTAGATCATTGCGTGATCCGAAAATGTGTGTATAGATATTGAAAGGAGGTCTCCAGTAATATACGCTCCAGGCTTTAATTCAATGAATAAAAATAAAAATGTGGGAAATTTCCATTTTTATTGATTTATAATTTATGATATATCAATTTTGAGGATTATCGGGGCAGGAGGCGTGTCTATACAATTTACCGGGTATCGATTTTTATCGATTTCCTACAACTTACTGTATGTGGTCCTACAAATTATTAATCGAATAATTTTAGCAACTAGCTTTTTTGTCTAGTATTTCCACTGTGACCAATAAAAGACTGTGTGTATTGTTTTTTAAACAGCACACCAAAGAAATAGCTTCATTGGAATGTTAAAAATTGTATTTATGTTTCTGCATTTTAATCTATATTCATATACACATAGAATTTTTGTATTTTTATCGTTTTTTTTTTTTTAATATTCTTTTTTCATTATTTTATTTTTCGGTAATTGAATTCACGTTATGCTTAATTTCAAAATTGTTGTTTGTTGTTTTTTTTGTTGTGATTTTTGAAGAGTACTTAACTCTCGTTTGCTGTAATAGTTTTGCTAACATTTCTGATATGTTTATTGGTAATTTTTGTATAGAAATACTCACACACATTTAAATACGTATTGTATGCATGGGCGCAACTATTACAAGTCTTGATAATTAAATATAATTAAAAAATAATACTAATAATGAATAATAATTAAACTTAAGGACGACTCTAAAACGCTACGTTTGTATTTGAAAAAAAGTACGTTTTTTTAATGTGTATAGATTTGCGAAATTGTTTCAGCATTTTAATTTGTTTTTTGGGTCAGTTTTTGGGCTTAAAATACTGAAACAAGTCACAAATGCGAATAAATTAAAGCAAAATTATGTATATATATAATGGGTATTAACACATTTTGGAAAAATTAATTATTGTTGCGTGATTAAAATGTAATTTTTGTAAATTTCTTTTTAAATTTAAGTTCTGTTGCAGTAAGTTTGCTTGGTTTTTTTTTTGTGTATTCATATTTGATATGTTTTAATTTTGTTCATTGATATGTTTGCATATTTGCCTAGTTGTAGGTTTAAAATAGTTGTTCCATTTAACTTTTCATATCTTTTTACTGTTTGCAGCTTTCTATAGCGCCTTAATAACATCTATAGCAAATCCGCTGATATGTATGTGATATAGTTTTGTGGCTTATATTTTAGTATTCATATATAATTGTATATAGTACTTAACTGCTTTAATAAAATCTTAAAACTTTCAAAAATATGCAGAAAGAAACGCATAATTGTAGCATTGTTGCAAAGATACAATATATATTGAGAATTTTGATATGATTTCGATTAAACGATATAAAAGTGTTGAATCATTACATTTACTTTAAGAATACATAGTGTATAAATTGTTGCGATTGTTTTATAAAAAAAATCAAATTATCACTTGGTTGTATTTTGTTTTGTTTATTTATGTTTTTTTTTTTTTTTTTTTTTTGTTTAGTTTGTTCGCGTTCATCGATCATTTGCATCCATATGAAATATGTAGCTTGTCTCTTTATTTACATGGGGCATATACACATGTGTGCATACATAACATATTATTTAATATTTGTAATAAATACTTTCTTTGTCATATACTTATGTAAATTTATGTATACATATAGATTTTTATGTATATATATATATATTTATATATATATAGTTCAATGGATCTTTTGTTTTCATTTTTCATTCAATACCACTCTTAATTGCATTTTTCAATTTTGCGTCTATATATAAACATTGTGTACATTTATGTAAGTTTTAATCATTTAAATAGACAACTATTAATAAAAGTATCGTTAAGTCGAAAATCATATGATTTGTTTCGGTTTTCTTTTGGTTTCTTGTTTCTATCAATACTTAGTTTCATTTTTTGTTTCTACCAGCTAATTCAAGGTACTTATAACTCCATTATTTTGTTTTAATTTGTAATCGATTTTTTAAATGTTCGCTTTCTGCTTGCCCTAACACTGATCTATCATTAGAACGTTGGGTTCGTTACTTGCATTGAATTGGACTGAAATACCTCATCGCTAGTTTAGTTAGTTTCACTTCATATTAACAATTCCGTGCTCTTTCGTGTACCATTTTGAACTAATCTATTAATATATGTGGGTAGTTTTCAAATTTCTATTTATATATATTTGATCGATAGAAACGTTAGAAAAGTGATAAAAGAAAAGGTTTGTAAGCAAATTTTGTTTGTTTGTTATATCTTTCATATTGGTTTTGGGTCAGTTTTAAATCATAAATCAATATGTAAATCTCATGAGCTTCATTTTGGTTACTGTCTTTAATATTTATTTATTTTTTTAAACATTAATTGGAAAAGTATTTGTGTTAATATGCTGAGTAAGCTTACACTTAATTTTTAAACTTTTAATTTGAATAAAGTATAACATTGTGATATAATTTTGTTAGTTATTAATCCTTAATTTGTTAGTTTTTGTTTTGATTCTCAGGATATGCATTATTTCGCAAGAGCGTGTATTTAATTGAATTCATAAATTATGCAACTCGACAATTGTATTTCCAGTTATTGAATCGTGTACAGTAGCCCGACATTTACGATTATGGTTTAGCTTACTTCATATTTTCTTTAAGTATTTGTACTAGTTAATATAGTATATGTAGTCCGCATAGCTGCAAGTTGAAACATTGAATGTTCATTTCATATGGGCTTCAATTAAGCAACAAGCTCTGGACGATATGTCCGTATTTATCCAAAGAGATATACTACACTCTACACAGATGCATATAGGTGTGCGTGTGTGTGTAGAAAAGAAGATTCAAAAAGATAGACGTACTCCTTTGGGTGGGTACTAAACATTATTTCTTGGAAGGTTTTTTACTGATAGCCTTGGTTTCTTTCGTACAACAATTGTAGGATTTCTGCATCAGTGAATACCTTGAGTGTATTTTTTGTGGATTGAAACTAGAGTTATTGTGAGGCATCTTGAAACACTTACAAATACATTGATAATTTCATTATACACATATACATAAGAAAGAGCGAATAAAAGTTTTTTTTAATATAATTTGTTTGTTTTCTTTTTACTTTTGTTTTGCTTGGTTTCTTTTGCCGAACGATCCTGCTTCCACATTTTGCTTTTATTTTGCGTGAATATGTAATGCTTTTTTATTCTTTTTGTTTGAAAATTCGATCAGTTATTAAAAGATGCGCGTTGATTTTCTCAAAATTTGGCAAAGTTTAAATACAAATTAATTGAGAGAGCTTAAAAGTGCAGACCGATTGAAAGAGCGCAGAATAATAGTGAAATAGAAGCAGAGAAATCGATTTAGCGTCCTATCTGCTAAGTTTGTTGCCTTTGTTGTTTTTATTATTTATTTATTTTTGTTGCTTTTGGTGTTTTCTATAAAAGATGTTTTCAAATAGATAGCAAATAAATAGTTGGATGGGCTAAGAGAGCATAAAACTTAAGATTATATTTTGAAAACTCAAGAGAACTTCGAAATTTTTGAGAAAATATTTAATGTATGGATGTTTGAATGTATGTGTCATTAATATTGATATTCATACCTGGGGTAACACCTTTCTAATAATTGTAATTATCATAGGGTGTGCCCAAATATGAATAGAAATTAGGATTAATGGGCTGTGCGTGTGCATAATAAAATCCAGAAGCCGGATCCGGCGCTACTCAATCGAGGAAACCGGTGTTGACCAATTTCTCCAAGAAGAACTTCACATCACCCAACTCAGAGTCCTTGATGCCCAGCGATTTCAACATGCCAAGATCACCATTCTCCACAGCCATGAAAACGGAACGCAAGTGCTCCAAATCGGATCTGCAAAATAAATGTTAATATTGTTTGAATCTTGTAAAATGTGTAAATGGACATGTACATATTCAATGATATTAAAGAAGTAAAAAGTTAAAGGTCGGCAGAACTTTATTTTATCCTCTTCCTAGACGTCATAATTTAACATCATCAGACGCTGGTAGTGTGAAACATTTTGATTTCAAAAATTCTTAATAACTTCCTTTCATCGCCATGACTGGGCTGTATTACTTCCATACACCGATATTGACCTTTCCTCCCCAACTAATCGTCGAGTGATGTGTTATGTGTTATGTTTGTTGTTAAATTATTAAATGCTGAAGTTGAATCCTCTGTGCTGATGAGCCAAATACATTTTTCTGCTCCCTTTGGAGCTGTCCGTTACTTTTTCCTCTTTCTCTTAAAGAATGAACTGCTGATTATTCTTTGCCTAAACCATTTAGAGTACTCTGTAATGATTATAATAGACTTTATCATGTTGTCAATTCATGGTTTGCTACTTCTATCATTAAGAACTCAATTTTAAGCTTCTTGTCTCGGGAATCCCGAAGGTATCAATGAAACTTGGAACATATACTCCTCTGTGCCCGCCTTAGACAAAATGTAAAACTATGGGGGCTACATTCACTATGAGGCTAGGTACCTATAAAGTCGATAAACACAAATCCGTAAAGCCACATTTGTCCCACAATTTAAGGCTACAGTTAGCAGTTGGCAATGTCCTTCAAAGACCGGTATATGCCATGCTTACCTCCGCCGCGCCCAGAGTATCTCGTAATTTAAGGGATTTAGTTATAGTTCTCGGAAAGCAGATTACTAGGAACATCCTCTATTATTTGTGTCGGTCGCGTTCACGCCCATTATCAACAAATTCACAAAAAAATATTTCTAGAAATTATATTATAATGTTCTACTTCATTTGTAAATTTAAATATGGAATTTTATTATTAATTAAGCTTAATTTATTTTTTACTCTTTGTACGTTTTTGAATCGGTTCAAATAAGTTGACATTAAATAAATAAACGTATAATGTACACACTCTCAATTATGCGTTTTGCTGTAGTGCCGTCTTTAATCTTAAGGTTCACAAGAAAGCCACATACAACGTGGTTACAATCCTTCTTGCGGTCAGGTACACATTTTCCGCTTTGCTTAATTAATCCCTGCAGGTGTAGTCGTCCAGGTTATTGTTATTGTTGTTGTTGTTGATAAATAAAGAATACTTCATTATGATCATGGGCACGAAAGGAGATGCGACAACAACAACAACAACATTGGCAGGCACATAATGTACATAAATACAATTTGCGTGTTTGCAAGTCTGAAAACCCTGCTAAACTCCTGCCCCTTCTCCCAAAAAGTGCTCCAGCAGGCAACCCAAGCTCAAACATTATTCTGTATGGCATTCGGGCGTTTGTACGACTAATTGCCTTGATGAAATTCTGTAAGTCCCACAGATGGTAGATTGTATGCGGTTAACTGGGGCATAGCCTGTTGGCCTGGCCTGTGGAGTAGCCGAGTTTTGGGCCAATTTATCAGCATGTCGGTCTGAGCTCTTTATGTGTCTAGTCTTCTCGCAATTACTTACACTCTGGACGACTGTTATTTTTGGGGAATTTCATTACGGTTGCTGCCGTTTTGTGGTTAGTTTTTGTTTTATTCATTTCATGAATATTCACTTTTATGCGATTTTCTGAGCTCGTTTTTATTTTTGACACATTGCCAGTTTTATTTACTTTACACAACACAAACAAACAAAAGAAAAAAAAAGTTTAAAATTTTAAAATAGAGTTTTACAAAATGAAAAAAAAAAAATCATATCCTATAAAAGATTTTCATTTTAGGTATATCTCTCAACAACATAAGTACCCGAATTAATATCAGAGGTTGCTAAAAAAAAAACACCAAGCTTTCAAATAATAGTGAATCCGAGCTTAAAAATGTTATATAAATTCTAGTGGTTATTAAGTGCTACAAACCCTGATAATAATAAGAGCCGTAGCTATTCTATATTGTGTCTTCATCGATTTACCTATTTGAAAAGATTATGCAAAAATTAAATAAAAATAAATAAGCTACACATTGTACTTTCAGAACTATAAAACTTCAGCACCATCTATATATTCATTTGTTTAACTTAATCTAATGGAAAAGGTAGTGTAACCCAAATGAATTTTGCTTCAGGCAATGATTTGGCATCATTGATATTTAAGTAATATATTTCCTTTAAATAAATTTCAATTGGCCCAAGAGGAAAGTTATATTCAAAGTAAGATAAATACATATAAATAAAAGGAAACATAAGTAATTATAAGTTAGTATGAGCAATGATTAATAAGTACATAAAATATTTTATGGAAGTGCTTGAAAAAACTTTTACCTAGTATCTGCTCGTAGCAACCCAAATCTATTTCATCACCACATATTCAAAGACTTAAAAATATTCTGTAAGATAATCATATCAGAAAACAAACAGGCAAATGGTATATTTATCCTTTGACTAGTTTGTTGCTTGCTTGCTGTAAAACAGAATAAGTATACATTTTTATGATACCATTTTAAACTATTTTTCTATGTGCAAGGTTTAAGAGAAGGAACACCTTAAATCCAGAGTGCTAGAATGTCAACCACACAAAAAAAATACTAAAATAAACCACAGACACAGACAGAAAAATTAGCACACACATAAAAGGGTAAGCATTCAAAAATGTAAAATTTCATAACTTATTTGTAGTGGTGGAGCACAGAGAAAAAGTAAAGGACACTCATATATTTTTGCAGAACAACCAAGGACACTCTTGGCCAAGAGGTGGTGGGAAGCTCAGTGAAGCAGACCTGAAATCCCATATATAAAAACAGTGACAGGGGAACGTAACTTAAATAAATAACTTTGGGGTCATGTTAAGTTTATTTAAGAGCTTCTATTACTTATACAATTTTTTGCTTGTTTATTTTTTCTTTTTTGTATTGGACACTTGAGGCTATGAGTTAAACATGCGCTTCATTCACGATGGGTGTGAGCAAACAAAAGGATTCTTTTTGCCTGAAATCTAGGCCTTCGGCGTATTTGATGTTTAAACTTTCGGACCTTACCTCATTAGATGCAATGCGGCGCCAAAGTCCTCAATCGTTTGTGATTCACTCAAAGCGATGGCCACCTTCTCCACACCACCCAGTGGTGAAAGGGCATCACGTGCCTTACTGCCAAAAAGTTTCTCCAAGTAATTGGGTCCATGTGATGCGATTAGGCTTTGCAAAAATGATGCAGTCTCCTCGACGGGTGGACGCTTGGCTGTAAGTGGACGAAGAAAGAAAATAGGAGAAATATTTATAAATTGCTTATAATCAAACGGATAACATTGTTCTATTCTTAAGTGGGACCATTCAAGTAATATCTGAACAGACGGCAACTAGAGCTGCTACCATTAGACAAATGCTTCAATTCGAAACTATAATATCCTCTAATTTTTTTGTGACTTGAAAGTGTTAACAAAAGTCCTATATATAATCATAATTGAATAATTAATCAATCTGCTTAAGTCAATCTCCGAGCAGACTTCTGCACACCGCAGTACTTTAGCGCGTTCGTTAAATCAATTATAGAAATCAATTACTTATGAACGATAATTGCCTGAAGAGCTCACAGAAAACTGTTGTCAAATAAATAAATGTACTTTGTTCGTGTCGAAATTCAAGTATTATGTTGGTTTAGATAAGTATATTTCTAATCAAAGTAAGGGAATGCAAAAAACGCAAATAAAATATTTAATTTTAAATTTTAGTCGTTCACATGAAATTGTTTTAAGGTATGTGCTCGTAATAATAATTAAATATTTAGAGTTCATGGATTTTGATGTATTCTAATATTCAAATGTCTGGAAAGTTTATTAACAAAAAGTAAAAATATCCCCATATCCACATATTTTGCTAATAATAATAATAAAATTAGTCGGTTTGCACGAACACGTGTATCTCCGGGACTTTAGTTAAAGGCTAAGACTTAATCAAAGATTAATTTTAAGGATAAATTCCTGCGTTACTCAAAAGTCAGAAACTGGCTTGGTGCAGTATTCCTTGATATAGTAATGATCACCTGTTGTAGTTATATTAAGATTGGCTAAGAAACATACTGTTCATTTAAATATATATCTAAGATAATGACGTGGGTGCAGGGCAACCACTATTAAATCTCTAAGATATTTTTCCACGTCATTAAACATTAAATTTAATTATAATTGTGCTTAGCCAAAATCTTAAAGCAGTGTATATTAGCTGCCGGTTTATTAATAAATGCATTCACTGCTCTGACAAGAGAAAATTGATTGCACGGTGACACGGGGAAAAAGCTTAGCTTCTAATCGAGCTTTCTTAACTAGAGCATTCCAATTGTCTTATGCATTATTCTCTTAGCAAATTCTATTAATTAATAGCTCTTTTGCGATTCCTGAGAATTGCCTTGCCCAATTTGCCTTGTGCCTCTGTGGTGGCATGTGTGTGATACTTAAAAGGTAAAAAAAGCCGTCGGGCTGCACTTCAGAATTTCCTTTTATTTTTATTTTCCCTTGGCATTTTGGATAAATTGCCAACATTTGTAGGTCAGTCAGTTAGTACGTACTCCGGCACTCCGTTTGCACCGCTTGATGCCGGCTTTTAAACCACTGGCTGCACTTTTGGCCCTCTGTAAGCATTCCCCACGTACATATGCTGACTGTTGTAAGCATTTTTAATGGTTGCAAGGACGCGTCAGTCGATGGATCTCTAGTGTGAGGGTGGAGGGGGTGTGTGTGAGTATATTCAGTTACTGACTGTATTTGTTATGCAAATGGCGCAGTTTGACAGCTTTTTTTCTCTCCTTTTGTTGCTTTGTTGTGCTTTTACCATCTGTGCATGTATGGCGTGGATACATCGCCTGGGACAGAAATTTGACATATACCAACCGACCTCTGTGTAGGTGTGTGTCGCCTGTTTGACTTTAACTTGTTACATATTCAAGCGATATACATCAGCAGTTTAGATAACGGCTACGTAACATTTGCAGGCTCTTGCCCGCCAGCCTTCAGGCCCTCCTCACAGCGCTTTGCTCGTTTCAGGCTAAAGTCCAATATTAAGTTTTTGGCTGTTGATAATATGTATGCAAAATTATGCTAATTTCCCAGGGGTATTCGAATGCAGCGCTTTAAAAGTTTTTATACTGTTATTGCAGTCATTTCTCTTGTTCCTTTTTTTAATGGTCTAAAGTATTGTTTTTACTAAACAAAATCATGCTTTTATCCGGAGCCATTTTAAAAAGGGTTGTACTAACATTTGACAATTTAGTTGATATTTCTGCCATCAATAATATAGTTAATAAGCTCTTAAGCAGTCGACTTAAAACTCTCAGTTAACTTTTCTAGTGATAAGTTGGATTTTAATTCAATTCCCTAATGAAAATGGATTTTAATGGTCTCCGATTTTGGTTTCAAGCTTCATTTACTAAGCTCAACATTTAAAAGCCACAGAGAGTGGCGCCTGCTCTCCAATTATTATTCATTAATAAGCACTTTGAACGCATTTAACGACACCGTCTGATGAAAAAGCCAGTCATACCAGCCGCTCGATGCTGCTGGATAACTCAGCAGCAATTGCCTGAGGTGGAAACCTTTATAGCAGGTCGCGGCCACCCAAGAAACAGGAGGCGGGCAATGCGGCGACTGAGCCTGACACTTTCTAAATGATTTCATTGTTAAAAAATAGTTTTTTTTTCTTTTGCGTTTGGTTTTTTTGTTGTAGCATAACAATGGGCCACGGAATATGTGCGCCACAATGCTATCGACTTTACTCTGTGGACTCCGCACATCCTGGCAACGGAATCAAAAAAAATCACGCAATAATGCTGTAGTTAAGTAAGCTCGACAACGGTATACCCTGAAGACGACAGTTAAATACATATTCTAAAAAGTTTGACACACTGAAATGAAATTGTGGACGTGTAATCTGTAATCTCTAGCTCTTATAATATTTGAGACAGATCAATAATATGTGTACCTAATTGGGTCGAAGATGATACTCCTTCTACCTGTTATAGAGTGTTCCACAAAGCCAATTTACCCTTTGGGTCCATTTTAAATGGCTTCAGGTAATAAAAAATAAAAACGCAAGGACAAAGGCCTGTTGGTGACTTTCAGGTTTCAGTCGAATGAATTGGGGCAATTAGTGCTGTGTGCTTAAAGTTTCGTTCAGCACCGTTGGTTTGCTTGGGAATCGCAATTATACGTACAATTTCGTCATTGTTTGTTTCGCCCACTGTGCGTAACTTTAAACTTATCTTTGCGGACTTGATTAGTTTGTGTGCTGGGAAACAACCTAACGAGCCAGCGACAATATATTTTGCCAAACTGTGTATAATATTTATTACGTGCTTTGACTGGGTAACAATAGTGGCAAAGTTAATTATTTTTCCCTTAATTGTCATGCAATTTGTTTAATTATTTTACTGATTGTTCGCCTTTATTTTGTTCTATGGGAGGCCATAAATCAGCATCTGCCCAAACAGAATGCAATCCTCAAGAGCTTATTAAGTAATTATTAAATATTAAAGTCGTTGTTCAGCATTCTAGAAATAAATGGGCTATTTCATATTTTAACACCCCTAGATATATTATATTTTATTTTAAAATTTCACATTTTAATTAAGTATATTGTGAGTATTTTAAAATTTGTCGACTAATTTTATTATAGTTGAAATAAACAAAAAATATACAATATACATATTAGGACAATTGATCAATCTATTATAAATGATAAAACTTTGATTTGACAGAGAAGAAAGAATAAAAGCAACTTAAAATACGTGGCATAATTATGCAAAAACAACATTATGCAAAATAGTCTTTTCTCTAATTAATTTTCGGCGAAATTGTACTCGAAGTTTAGTTTCGGGTCTTAATTAAATCAAGTGAAAAGTACTACATTATTCTTAATTTTATAATGTATTTTAGTCAGCAACAAACCTATCGAAATCAACAAATGAATTTAAAAATGCAATTACTATGTAATGTCTGCTAACGACATGTCCATGCCAAATATATTTGAAGAGGACTACAGAATACATAGACGCAAACTGTACCAAACCATATAACCACAATGTAAGCATCGAGCATGCTTGTGATTGTCTTCATTTCCCTTTGTGTATTATAACAAAATTAATTACCTTTCCAAAAAGTATAAGCTTGTGGTGGAGACCTTTATATAAATCAATGCTACAGAAAAATACTCGACATACAAATTACTAATTGGTTTGGTTGTTGGCATGCAGAGCAAAAGGTTACTCGTGTTCTAATAGATATATAAACAAAGATGTGCATAACGTATGAAAATGTGGAATCCTTAAAGCCAGGAAATATTTGTCACACAGTTAAGCTTATGTAACTAACTGAATTTATATATTCAGTTTGAAGCAAGACTTTAAGCAACAAACTTCAAAAAATATATATCAACAATTTATTAGAATATTATCTTAACTTGATATTAAATTTAAGTAAAATTGTCATTTTTTTTCCTGTCACTTTTACAGAGAATAATAAAAATATTATTTGCGCATTTTATGAATTGCACCACATATCAGTGAATTTAATATATCGGCTATGTGGAATCAGGTGTCGATGACAGCAACAACGCCCCAGCCCACAATAGTGCCACCAATGCCGTCAGATGCACCACTACCTCCGCCGCCAGTAGACAATATGGGCGCCACAGAGCAATGCACGCTCGAACAGAATGCGACGATAACACCGGAAGAACAGTATGTGTTGCAGCAGCAGTGGCAGTTGTGGCAAAACTATCAGTTTGAATATGCCGAGTGGCATGCCAAGTATGGTAAGCAGGTGAGTTGTTCTAGGAACTCACATTTTACGCCGTTTAATATGTGATTCACGCAGTACGAGTGGGAAATGGTTGCTGGAGCAGCTAGCAATGCGCAAATTGTGCCACACGTATACACACAGGGGCAGCTACAGTCGCAGTTGCAGTTGCAGTTGCCTAGTCAAATAATAGCACAGCCAAAGATGTATACTAAGCCGGAAGTCGACCACGAAACTTCACAGCAACAGCAGCAGCAGCAGCAGTTGGCACAGCAGCAGCAACAGCAGCCTCCGCAGCTGCCACAGCAGCAGCAGCAACAGCAGACGCCGACGCCGCCGATGTCAAACCAGTGGCAGCAACAGAAGCCGCCTGACAGATTCCAGCAAATGCCAACTCATAATCCATGGTCCAGGGGAACATTATACCGGGGCAATGAGGGAGGCAGACAGCGTCCACGATGGGAGTGGCAACTGGGCCAGGGACGTAACTATCGCTGGCAAGGCAATGACAGTAATTGCAATGAAGGCGTCAGCAATACGGCAAATCAATTTGGCAATCGAAGATGGCCTGCTAAAAATTACAATAATCCATTAAATTTTTGGAACTTTGGTGGACTGAGTTTTGGTTGTTGTGGCAGCAATTGTTGGGGTCATTTTGGGCATACCAGCAACAGTTACCAAAATCAGCCACAGCAACAGCAGCAACAACTTGTTCGCCTGTTCAATCACTGGGAGAAACAGTTCGAGGATTGGAAACGCGCCAATGCCAATCATCCTGATCGCATTCGGTATCGAAGCTATAAACACGATTTTGAGAAGCTGCGACATCGCATCGCCAAGTGTCTTAGAGCATTGCGATGCGGGAGTCAAATGCAGAATTCACAGCAACAACAACAGCAGCAGAAACAACAACCTGGAGACAATGTCTGTGATACCGACTATGAGGAAGGTGAAAGTCATTTCGGTAAGGAGCAAACACAACAGCAGAGCCGGGAACTGACTTCAAACCATGGACTGGTACTAAATTTGAGAAAGGCGAATCAGGAAAATATATCAACTATATCGTTCAATGATGAGGTGGATGATGTGCTGCAGCAAACGGTAAGCAAAGTAGAGTCCATTAAAAATATATTTGCAAATAACTGTAACTAAGTACCGGAGCTCGATTCGGTTGCTGAAGGCAGAACTACTGCAGCTGCAACCATAGCAATCAAGACAACAAACTAAAATGATAGTTTCATCAGTGCCCATAAATCGCTGCCAGACACTGTTAGCAATGCGCTTAGCAATTCCAAGTTCATGAATAACTATTTTCAGGCTGGCAAACGGGAACGTGAAGAACGGCAGCAATCCGATGAGCGCTCTGTTTATGCCAACAACGGCAATAGCAATGAGAGTAATGATGATCGGGAGCTGTTCCTTGCCAAAATGAATGATAACCAGAAAAGTGGCACACAAGATGGACAGCAGGATAATAGGGCAGACAATGTTTTCGCCGGCGGTTTCGGGTCGGGAGCTGGTTTTGAGAACGAGGAACGAACACATTATAGTCCAAACTATGGAAGTAGTAAGTAGTACGGTTTGGCGTCCAATGGAATAATTTTGATGGATCTTTTCGACGCATTTTTGGAGCCGCTGAAAACAACTACTCCCATTTCAATGGACTCAACGGACCCGGTTCAACCTTAACGTCTCGACCTTTTCGCATTTCGATCAAACTTATTTAATAATAGTTCAACTTTCAATAATCCAACTGTCAATAGTTCGAACATGGGCAACAATAATAATAACTTGTTTAGCGTCACGAAATTCAAACCGATTTTCTCAAGCTTTGATGACCTGGCAGAAAAGAACAGCTGATTCAGTCAGAAAATTTTGGAAAACAGCGAGAATAGCAATAAGCCAAGTGCTGATAGGAGATGTGTCATGGATATGTCAACAAACTACAAGTGATGCTAATGAAACAAAACATTTTATAGTAGCATTTATATATAGCATTTACAAGAAAGATAATGATAGACATATTTCGAGAGCTATATGCTATATATATACTCCTATTTGAATGATATACTAACTGCATAAGTAATATCACTAAACAGACAATTGCTGCTATCTTCGCAATATTGTTGACTTTTTCGCACACATTGAAAACCCATTAGTACCTAATAGAAAGGCAAATATGTAGCAGGTTTTAGTCGATTTGATGCCTCTATGTATTGTTTGCTTAATGAAGGGAATTGACTAATATTTGCAAAACAATTCTCAGTTAGTTCTGAAACGATTAACCATTAAGAAAAATTAAGAAAAGAAGCAAACCCTATTTAAAACAAGTAAAACTGCTTAAGTCCTCAAGCCCAGCTATTAAATACATGATGCATATAAAAACACGTTCAGGATAAAGCAGCGCAGTTGACCAATAATATCTAAAAATATATTATAAATCAATTGGTAGACTATATCTTTACAATTGTAATTTATTTTTATTGGGAATCGATATGAATATATGTAAATTAATTATTTATTTTTACGTTTATATCTACATATGCATATAAATCAAGCTGTGAATGTCAAAGAACCTTAGACAGCTTCACATTGCGGTAATTGAAAACTCTGACTGATGACGTGCGCAAGAATACAAGATGAGATGAACCCAAATGTTATTAAGACATGACAAGAAAAGAAGTTGAGACCCGAAGAAGTTGAGACTGTGTGTTTTTTTTATAATGTAGCAGTTACTAGACGATTATGACCACAACTTACTAAAAGTGACTACGACACAATATTGCCTAAGCAAAAAAACAACATATCTTGCTAAGGTTAACCAAAAAAGAAGATTTCGATGATACTCAGATCAAGATTGTCGACAGCTCCTGTTTTTGACAAGCGATTGAATATAGCTTTCCGTCCTCTACTTCGTCTAGATTGTGACGTATATTTGCTACTATTTTGTCAAGAATGCGGATACAAAGACAAGCACATGTCTGTCCAGTATCACAGCTGGGATTCTAAACAGTATTGGCGGACAACCACAAAATACAGATTAATACCATTGCACAGCAGGAAGCATGTCGCTTTAAAATATTGGCCACAGTTCGGTTGGAGACAGCACGAACCACATGGCAAGGCACAACAACAAAGCTATAAGGAAAAATCAATGTTAATAGAACCAGATGACAGGCTTACAGGACTAGACCAACGCCACAACAACATGTACATATATATATATACATAAAAGGCCGCAACGGGAGTTCTTGCGTATATTTTTGGCTCAACCCCGAATTCACAATGGTGAGAGAAGCGGATGAAGCTCACAAAATACAAGGGAAGTATAGGAACATTTGTACATGTTCACGGGTAGCTAAGTGGCGATAAAATCCATGGATCCTCCATCCAGGCATCCTATAATTGCTTCAGAAATATGCTGGCAAGCAGAGTGTTGCGTTAGACAACATAAGCACTGCAACAATTTTAGTGGCACTGGTTTGCTGACAATAAACTAAAATATTAAGCTTTAGAAAGGGTTTTGTCTAGGCCAATTGTGCCTATGCTCAAGGTTCATTTACATTTTACCTGTTAAATTTACTTAAATGCCAAAGTTAAATTAGTTAGTAGCAAAGTGTGGAAAGCATTTCCCAACCAGACAGGCTGAATTGAAAATTGGCTATTTAACAATTTTAAAAAATTTAAAAAATCGGTTAGTTCTTGTGAAAGTTTTTTTTTTGAATGCCTTACACGTTAAATTGTTGCCAGAAACTTTGAATGAGCAAATGGACGATGAAATGAAAACTTTTTGGATGTCTGGCAAGCTTCATTATGCCGTTGTTAAATTGATTAGATTTAAGTAAACAGCAAACCAAAAGAAGAAAATGGAAAACGCAAAGAAACTTGTTCACAAATCTGGCAAACTGCAACAAAGTGTTTTATGTTCTACGCAGTTGCTAAGCTTTAGTCGATTTGCCCGCTGGCTACATAAGTCAGTTCAGGCTTTGACACATGTACACATGTCCCTGACATGTCACAGAGACATGAGGAAGCATGAGGACCTAATTGAAATACGGCCTTTAATTTCCTGGGAGCTGCTCGACAGCAACATTTCTCAATTCCAGTTAAATACATGCCGGGAACAAGCTGCTAAGCCAAGAGTACAATTTTGTGATGTGACCTTAACATGTTTGATTGCAGCTAGCGTTCACAAATCAAAATTGCACATTCGCTGGCATTGATTCAGCTGAAACCCCAATGGCCCTAACAAAATTATTGACAGTCCATCACAAGTTTGCATACAATTCAAGCCAAATCCTGGCCAACTGAGCATATACGTATGCTCAAACGCGTGCATGTGTGTGAACTGAAAACTTAAATTGAAAGCCAGAGAAAATTGTCAACTCTCGTATGACTTTGAAACTTACCAGCAGTGCAAAGGCGCATATCCTCGTCGTAACCGTCAGAGCAATCGGGCGCACCATCGCATAAATATTGAATGGAAATGCAATTACCGTCGCCGGGACATTTGAATGGCTCGTACGGATGGCAGGCATCTGTGAAAAAAGGAGAAACGCAAAACGCACCATGAAGGTTGTTATAAAATTTTAATCGAAAATGAAAATATCAATGCTAGACTCTACCTTTAAAAAACCATTTACAAGTTTATTGTTTTTTATGTACAAAATTTAATACGAATTTAAGGCTTGCAAATTACATAAATGTAATATCACCAATAAGTGGGCCTTAGATGTGAAAAATGGCAAATTGCTCATTCAAATATTGGTAAAAATCAATGTATCACAACTTCAAAATTTATAGCTCTTCTAACTATTTATATGAACAACAATATGAACAAAGAGCCATTAAATCGAATTTAAAATTATAAGTCATTTTATATATCCTTGTAGGCTGAAATCTAAATTTCACTATAAATTTAAAAAAAACACAAGTGTTTTGTTCCTATAAGAGCTATATGATATAGTGGTCCGATCTTGATGTCTTTTTAAAGAGAATGACTTGAAATATTCCGCGTATTAGACGAAAAGTAACCTGTTATAATAACATTAATTTCATAATTGTAATGTCTTAACCACGGACTATATAAGAAGGCAATAAATTTAACGAACATAACATAACCAAAATTTGTACAATTCGTATATTACAAATTAAATCCATTCCACCTCTGTTTGTTAATCAAAACACAATAGCAGATTGATGCACAGAGCGGTAGCATTGTAATCGTATTTAAGCGTACTAAGCGGATTTGTTACCTCGTTTACAATTTTGTTTGCCGATTCGATTTGTGGGTTTCTTTGTTATCATTTGCATCTGGGATTCACAGAGTTTATAAGTAATTTATATTTGCAGCATTTATGACGAGTATAATACAAAAATCCAACCGACTCTGCCTTTATAATCTGTATGATATATTAGTCCGATCTAGATGGTATATTTATCCGAACATAAGGAACACAATAATACGCATATTAGGTCAATTTGATTTGGATATCATGGTGATTCCTATGGCAGCTATATCATATAGTGACCCGATCGGTGATATCTGGTCTGTCAGTATTAATTAAAATAATAATTGTATTTCTATTTAATTTATTTTTTACTTTTTGTTTATTTCTGTGTCGACTGATTAAATAAATACAAGGACAAGCCCCATTATTGCACAATGTATTAGGATTTTTGTAATAAACTGTTATTTAATAGTTCTACTACTCTCAATGATTAGAACTAAAATGCTGGAAAAACGAGTCAACCTATTCTTGCAAGTTGCAAGCTATAAGAAATATATTTGTATATCTTTCTTTTTAGTTTTATTCCTTTTCCTACAGTTTATTGCCACTCACCTTCAGTTGCATCAATTTGAATTGCAAAGGCAGTTTCAGCATGTTAGTATTTATTGCTGCTACTTTTAAAACGAGACATCAAGAATCCTTTGGGGTTCTGAAGATTTAATACCCTACTTGTTATTAGCAAAATAGTTTGCAAGAAGTCGTTATAAGCAGTAGTGAGATTTAAGAAAAGTAAATTTTTCCTTACAACAACTGAACTTTGGTCCGTGTCAATGGCAACAAGATGCTGCTATGCTCATTTGATAGTCGGAGTGATGAATACTTGGAAAAGTTTAATAGAAAACTGTCAAGTGACTGGTTGAGGAGGAAGCCCTAGCAAACAAACAAAAAGTTAAACTTTGCGCATTTTGCTCATGCTGAAAGTAAATTGAATTCGATCAGTGCGCACAGAATTTAGCGTTGAGGCCGCAGGTAATTTTAAACGCATAACTTTTAAACCAATCTTTTCCAAAGCAAACCACATATCACCATAAAAATAAATGCACGGAACGACAATCACCAGATGATGAAAAGTAAACCTATTCTTTGTGGCGCGGCTCTTTTTTGCCCGCACAATACAGGCAGACAAAGAAAATAAATACCTAAGCCAGACGCCATCATATACAGAGACCTAAAAGTAGAAGTGAAAATTGCTGCTAAAAGCCATGGAAAGCTTTACACCAAGGCAGACCCATGTATTAGTGACCGCCACGTGCCTGGAAAGGCTGCTGAAAAAGAGATATGGTGAAAATTTACAGTCTCGGCACAAAAGCAAAAAGGTCTTAAAAAAACAAAAACAAGCGCAAATTAAAATACCAAATTTTCAGCGGCGCACATTCATGTTAACAAATGGCGCTGGATATTAGCCATGAAAGCAGCGCTAAAAAACAAAAAAGCGAAAAATAACAACAAGTAAAATCCAGAATAACAATAAATTCAATTAACCTGCCCCTTGTTTGGGTTTCATTTTGATATCGTTCCCCCGAGAACTCCAGCAATGTCGAAATAAAAAACAAATACCTCCCTTGCTCATCATCTCCTAATGCGCTTTTTACGGCATTTTATGAACAGTGCAAATTAGTGCCGGCCAAAAACCATTTGAAATATGAAAATAAATTAATTGCCTTGATTGTCTGTTAATGTTTTTTTTTTCTCTTTTGTTTAATGATTTTTATGTTTGTTTTGTTTTCTTGATTTTGTGCTTTTAATGTTTTTTGGCTTTAACTGCCTTTATCAATTATGTATCCCTTTCAAAATTGATTTACATTTATGTTATTATTGATATATGCATATTTCATACAGTGACTTGAAATGCTTTGTTTTAATTTGTGGTATAAGTTAGGTGGTCGTATTTAATTTGTCCTTTTATTTGCCCTTAAAATATATTACATGTATGGACAGACTGATAAAAATTTGGATATTATTTATTAAATATGACTGGACGATTGGCTGTTTACTATTTCTCACACAACTGAATGGAAAACTGTATTTTACTGGAACTGCTGACCTCTTATTTATTATTTCTCACAGCTAAATCACTATATATATATCTCAATTTATTATTATTATATATATATATCAATTTTCATAAAGAACAAACGAATTCCATCTTGGAATCTTGATTATAATACATTTATTTTATTTCGTTTTGGAATTTTGATACACTTTACACATTGCACTAATAAATGTTATGTAGATGTAGTTGTAGCTACTTTTTGGTTTCATCACTAAGTGGACCCAATGCAATGGATAATAGCAAGGATATAAGTGCAAAATCCTATAAAAACACACAAAATTTCATTTGAATCAATTGATGCCTGATTAAAGGTTATCCTTAAGGCAACTAAGCTGATTAACCGAGAGTTACACAACATGATTAATAATGCAGCACAATATGAACATTTTCCACAAAATGAACATTAAAGTGCCTCGAATTGAGAGCAAAACAAAACGATTTGACAGCTTGACACTAACTGAAACCTTATCAGACCAAGACCCTTTGGCCAATTTGGCCAGCACCTTTTGACCTTTTCTCCGAGTCGTTGGATGCGTGAAGTTTAGCTGCAATTTGACTTCACACAGTTCGCTCCATAAACACGTCTGAGTGAATTATGAGATTACTCCCTGCTCTTTAGGCTTGTCAATTACCCCAGCAATTTCGGCACATAAATTCCAATTGTTCCAACATCAAATAGTAATGAATTGCTCGGGGCGACTTACAATGATTCATTTTATTTTCCATGTTTTGGAAAATTATGCACAATGACAACTAAATTAAGTTGTCTAGCGCTTGAAATGTGTTATATGTGTAATATTCACACGTCCCAAGTTCAAAGGCCAATGTTGCCCCATGCTAGGCAGGCATAAAATTATACTTGGTCTGGTTCTGCGCATGCAAATTATTGCCAACTAAGCTAAAGCTAAGTGACTTGAAAATTGTCATATTCAAAAGGATTTTAGTATTTTAAGTAAGTGTAACATAGCTCTTTGCACAACGTAATGTATTTATCAAAATGAATCATAAATATTATTTATAAGGTGTGTGGACTCTTAGTAGTTTAGTATAGTTTGTCTTTAAAAATGTTCGGCAAAGTTTAAGCATTACTATAAATGGTATCAATTTATTAAAGATGGGTCAAGTATCTAATATTTTAGCTTTCTTGACTAGATAATTTTGGCTTCGATACATTAATATATACTACCAGAGAATCAAACCGGAGCCGTTAGTCAAAATTAACCGATTGAAGTTCAGAATCAGAAGCGAAACTAATTTTCAAATTTTCTTTTTAAGAACTTGTATCTGAAAATGATATTATTGTAAACAGGGTGTCAAACTGGAAATGAAATCCCGATTCAGAACCGAAACTTAAGAAACTTAAGTTACAGAAATAAGAACAATGACGTAAAGCTATGGCTTTGAGGATTTAATGTGCTTTGAGGATTCCTACTCTTTGTCAGAAAATCGTCAAATCCCGATTTTAGCTAGGTGTTCTTTTCAGTGTTCTGTCAGCGGACTGGGGAGTGTACTACGTATATTCTTTTCCATGTATATTACTTGCTTAAATTGTTTGTCATAAAAGCTACCTAAATCACATTAGGCTTTTGATAGACCTCTGCCCAACTTAATTGAAGCAGATGGTTTTCCTCGTTTATATGGGACAATTAAGGTACAGCAAATATTTAAAAATGAAAATTATTATTTGTTCATTTCAATACATGCGAAACCTTCTAGCTCAGTTTTGTTTAAAGTTATCAAAAGTTTCATTGCTTGAACTGAAGGCAGACTAAAAATAGCCTCTCTCAATGGTAAAATGCACGAAACCATTTAACAAAGCATATTTGCTTGTCACTATGCAGTATTTAAAATTCTGTGTTTACTTAAGAGTGCTGCAAACATGTTCAGTTCTTTCAAATAGAAACAAGTCCGTACAAATGTAGGCAGCATAATCATGATTTGTTCTCTATCTGATGCAAGCGTCACATTTTGAGGTCGGAGACACTGAAGCAGAGCACACAAGAGTAACAAAATTTACTGTGGTTAGTCATGTCATGAATTTTTTTTCATACCACACACTGAAACCAAAGAGACGATGCTAATAAAAATGGATACCAGGCTGTGTTGCGTGTGGCGTACTTAATGAATGTTGCACAAATGTGTCACAGACTATAAAGAGAGACGACACGCACCTGTGGAAGCCTCTGGTAACTGT